TAGTTGCTGGCTTTCAGATTGGGTCTCTGAGTGGACATTCTGTTTGTTGATGATGAGGTTATTTCTGTTTCTTGGTTTTCCTTCTGACGGTCTGGCCCCTTTCTGTAGGTCTGCTGAGGTCCACTATAGGCCCTGCTTGCCGGGGATCACCTGCAGCAGCTGCAGATCAATAAGGGTTGTTACCAGTTTTCTTCTTGTGCTATCTTTGTCCCAGAAGGATTCCCGCCAAGTGTCAGTCTGATCTCTCCTTTATTAGGTGGCTCTTTGGATACACAGGGGTCAGGGAGCTGCTTGAGGATACAGTCTGTTCTTTGTAGGAGCTCAGATGCTGAGCTGTGAGCTCCGTTGTTCATTCAGAGATGCTGGGCAGGTACACTTAGGTCTCCTGCAGCAGAACTCATAAACCGCTTTTTGTTCCCAGGTGCTCTGTCCCAGGGATTTAGGGCTTTATTTATGAGTTTCCGTTATGCTGCTGCCTTCTTTTTTTTTCCTTCAGAGCTGCCCTGCCCAGCAAGGAGACAGCCTAGTCACTGTCTGCCTGTAGAGGCTTTGCTGAGCTGCTGTGGGCTCCACCCAGCTGCCGAGTGAACTTCCCTGCAGTCCTGTTTGTATGGTTGTAGTTAGAACTGCCTTGGCAATGGTGGCCCACCTCTGTTAAGGTGGAGTCTCTCTGTAGTGGTGGGTTGCCCTGGCAACGGCGGGCTGCCTCAGCAATGGTGAGTTGCCTTGGCAACGGCGGGCTGCCTCAGCATTGGCTGACTACCTCCGTAGTGGTGGGCTGCCTCGGTAATGGCGGACACCCCTCCCCCACAGAGCTGGACCATTCAGGGTTCAGCTGCACTTGCTGTGAAACTCTCAATCCAGAGAGTTTCTGATTGCTGTTCTTTCGTGGGGGTGGGACCAGCCAAGCCTGATCGCCTGGATCCCTGCCTCAGAGCCTTTTTTTTTTTTTAAGTTGGTGTTCCGGTCACCTGTGGAAGAGGCGCTGGGATCTGTGTATTTTCCCTAGTGGCGACTCACTGTGCTGGCTTAAACAGCAGCACTGAGATTCGTGGTGCTTTTTTTGCCCTGGAATCTACTGTCCTGGTTACCTGTTCAGTCCTGTTTTTAAACAGATGAATGGGTGACTTCCTGTGACTCCAATCACCAGCCAAAACGGCACCCGGACCAGTGTATTTCGTAGGGAGAACCGCTGCTCAGGGATGCTGACAAAGTATCCGAGTGGGGCAAAGCAGTGGTGCTGGCCGACACAGCTACACTGCCAACCCTTGGGGCACCTCCACCTGGGAATTTCCTAGTCTGTGGGCAATAAAAATGCGGCATCCACTCACCCTCTGCACTTTCACTGGGAGCTGCAATCCTGAGCTGTTCCTAAATGGCCATCTTGGATCCCGGATCAATCTGTTTTAGTTCTTTGTAGATTCTGGAGATTAGCCCTTTGTCAGATGTGTAGACTGCCAAAATTTTTTCCCATTCTGTTGGTTGCCAGTTCACTCTAATGATTGTTTCTTTGCAATTGCAAAGACCTGGAAGAAATGCCCAATGATGATAGATTGAACAAGGAAAATGTGGCACATACACACCATGGAATACTATGCCACCATAAAAAATAATGAGTTCATGTCCTTTGTAGGGACATGGATGAATCTGGAAACTATCATTCTCAGCAAACTGACACAAGAACAGAAAATCAAACACCACATGTTCTCACTCATAGGTGGGTGTTGAACAATGAGAACACATGGACACAGGGAAGGCAGCATCACACACTGGGGTCTGTTGCGGAAGACTAGGGGAGGGACAGTGGGGGGTAGGGAGGTTGGGGAGGGACAACATGGGGAGAAATGCCAGATATAGGTGATGGGGGGATAGAGGCAGCAAACCACATTGCCATGTATGTACCTATGCAACAATCCTTCCTAATCTGAACATGTACCCCAGAACCTAAAATACAATAAAAATATATAAAAAAATAAAAAATAAAAAGAAAAGAGAAAAGGCTAATAACCTCTAATGTAATGGTAAAATTAAGATGGTCATATATTCAGAAACTCAAAAACAAAGAAAATCTAGAGGCAATGATTGCATTTTTGCAGTCAATATTAAAGCAAGTAGCTTTTAAACTTTTTCACTGTGATTCACCATGATAAATGTATTTTATATTAAGAATGAGTGCAATCATATATGCATGAGATGCCTCCTGTATTTTCTATTCATTATCTTTTCTTTTGTCATATCCTATCCAGTGTGATCCAGTTTTTCACACACTTTGGAAAACATGGGTCTAGACATGTTACAGCAACTAAAATAGCATGCAAACTTATCCAAAGTATTAAGATATAACTAATTGGCCGGGCACGGTGGCTCATGCCTGTAATCCCAGCACTTTGGGGAGCCGAGGCAGGTGGATCACCTGAGGTTGGGAATTTGAGATCAGCCTGACCAACATGAAGAAACCTCCATTTCTACTAAAAACACAAAAATTAGCCCGGTGTCATGGCACATGCCTGTAATCCCAGCTACTCGGGAGGCTGAGACAGGAGAATCACTTGAAACCGGGAGGCAGAGATTGCAGTGAGCTGAGATCTCCATATTGCACTCCAGCCAGGGCAACAAGAGCAAAACTCAAAATAAATAAATAAATAAATAAAAAGATGTAACTAATCTTTTACTCACTCTGTCTTCCTCTTCAGCGCTATCTTGTTTTTGCCACCTCAACATGCATTCACCTACTTTCTGGTAATGACAGCATAATTTTCCTTTTGGAAATTTTCCTTCTGCTTATCTTAGTCCATAGGACTCAGGTCAATGTCCTGCCCACCTCTCCTGTCTCCCTCCCACTCCCTAATTTTACCAGCTCTGAGGAGGCACACCATCTCCTTCTGGGCAGGCAGATTAGCCATCTCTCTGACCACAAGGACTGTCTCAGTAGTGGGCACATAGCCTGGGCAAGGCCAAATCAGTCCTTGTTTTGGTGGACTGAAAGCTGCTGGGAATCAGGCCTGTAGATCCAGGAAGTCATCATGTGAAAGAGCTGCCCAGGAGGAAAGCTAACAAGAGGAAAGGAGATGGAGACCCTATGACAGCAACTGTGACCCTGGATCCAATCACGTTTCCTATGCACCAATTTTCCTTTGAAATTCTAATTTAAGAAAAACTATGCATCAGATGACATGTAGTATGTGAAATACCTTGAACTTTTTTCAAAATTTGTATTCTCAGACCTCTTCAGTATGCTAAATTTATAAAAAGAGCAAAAGTAAGCAGAAATTGTCATATAATCACTTCTATGTTAAATGATATTACAAGTATCTAAATTTGTATTTATATGAGAAAATAAAATTTGTAGGACATTTCAATGTCATTATCAAATCTCGACCTTTTTCTCCATGTCTATGTATTTCTAGTTTTGCTGTTCTGAGAGTACCAACTTCATTTTACTAAGAAAAACACATTTGAAAAATATATGTACCATTTACATTAGGATTTTCACTGAAAAATACAATAAACCAAGGTCTCCCTTCCCCACACTTCAATTTAATTATTTTCTCAACCAGTATACGGAGATATCATGTAACAGTATGAATTTATTTAGAGCTACCTATAGAAGATAAGATTTAAAGTCAGTTTTATATAACTCACATTTTTCCAGTTCTATTTGATATTTGATTTTAAATGTCTACATAGTTTATTGATTTGAAAAGAAAATAATTCAAAGCAAAATGTATATTGAAGGCTACTAGTCCAAAACATTGTCCATAAGTGAAAAGTTTATATTATTTACATTACAGAGGAAAAATATATAACATAAGTGATACTGGGCATACCTACATCATTTGCTGATTGGTCACTGCCAGAACATACAAACAAGCTTGTGCCTATTTAAAATTTATCTCTATCAGATGTTCATTGATGTTCATTACTTTGTCTTTAATACATTAAATGAAAATCTAGACTGCAGTTATTCATATTTGAATTACTCCTTAAAAGTGAAGGCAATAGTTTTCTATAGCAGAATTAAAACAAGGCAAGATATGATAACATTTCAATATTTCAAGGAAATCCACATCAATCTCACATAGTTAGATTTTGCTTCAAGCTGGGAGGTCTGGAGTTAGCAGACAGGGTGAGTCACTTTTGCGATTTTTTTTTTTTTTTTTTTTTTTTAGAAAACGACTGAATTGGAAATTTTGTGCTTTCACTGTTATTAGCATTACTTACTTCTTGCAAAGAGTGTTACACAAAGGGGGTGTATTTAATGATTCTTTCTTAAGATAGCTGACAGCAAAAAAGCAAAACACCACAGCTATTTTTACATCAGTGTTATTATAAATTTCAGCATAGGTACAAAAACATTTACAGCTGTGGCTGTGGCAAAAGTGGTTTCATTTCGTTGACAGCTATACATAAAAAAACCAGTAATGTATGGAGATAAGAATAAAAAAGTTTTATTTAAGGGTAGGCACTTTGGAAATTGGTACAAGTCAACAAAAAAGTAATTTCAAAAAAAATTACATTTGCATTTTTTTCTTGTTAAGCATATCTTAAATATAACATTTTTGGAGTACTAACTGTCCTTTATTGCTTTAACTGTTAAAAGTTTAATTCCTGAGATTTTTGGAGTCAGTTAAAGTTCTTAAAGTGAGCAGAGGAAAGAAATGTCTTTCCCAGATGGGAGGCTGAACTGTGAATCAACAGTGTCAATCAGTTACGTTCTGTCATTTTTTTCATGCATCAGTTTTCATCTGGGATATGTTTACACCGTAGGTTATTACTTAACTACTGATCCCAAGTATGCTACTTTAAGAAGCTCTTGAAAGAACTGAAATTGTTCAGCTGAAAGATGGTACGTAAGTAGAAATTATTATGAAATATTTGTCATTGTTAAGTAGCTTTCCTCTTTTAAAGCATGAACTTTATATATGTGAGTGTTTTACCTCTGGTTTGATTTAAATAACAATTCAAGTATCTCTTTTAAAATGATGTTCTGAAAAATATTAATATTTATGAAGCACAGATATAAATACATTTTTTAAAGGCAGAATATTACTTGAATATCCTTTGTTTTCATCATTTTTTAGACTATTGAGATTACAACCTAGCTTTGGTCCACATCACATTTTTAATAGTTCATAATTTTTATCCATATACTTAACTAAAATTTTAGAAAACATTTATCATCAAACGCATGAAGGAAAACTTCAAACTATTATATTTCATTAAAAGTTATATTCAAATGAAGATAGGGTCTGAATATAAGTCATTTGTGCTTATTTTCACTTATGGCTGATATATAAGCTGTTCACTGAGTTTTTGCTTGAAATGGAGTTGTATCATAGTCCTGAAAATGAATTCCCTTAGAAGCTGTGATCTTCATAATAGCACCATTTAAAGCATCATCTTCAATGAGTGTTATCAGTCCACTGGCAATCAATGGTGGGCTAAAAATAGAGAAAACAGTATTTTGAAACTAAAGATTGAGGCATATTATCACTTCATTTTGAATTAATTTCTGAAGCATCTATTATGTTGAACATGTTATAGGGAAATGTATGTCATTAAGCTATTGCTACTTCCAATTTTTATTTAATTACGTATTAGATATCTAGATTAGATATCCCATTTATCTGATTTATTCAATTAGATTTTTTTCAATTGGATATTAACTAAATTATTTGATAAATTTAGCTGTAACCTTCTAACATTTTGGCAGGAGGAATTTATACTCATTATTTTCACTGAGCAAATGATCACTTTTCTCATCTTTATCATATCAGTTGATCTTAGACTTACCAGATATAAATGTTATTATGTCTGTCGAAATATAACAGCTAGCATTTACTGAACATCTTATTTTTTGCCAATTGCTGTTTTAAGTACCTTACATGTATCATTTTATTTAAGTTTTACAAAGTCCCTAAGTGTTATAATATTATCTCTATTTTATATGTGAGACAATTGAAGCATTTAGAGCTATGATGGATAAGTTCATGGTTAGTGGTACAGCCAAGATTTGGCCTCAAGTCTGATTCCTTAAACATGATAACTATGTTTCTGTGCTATGAAATCCCCAACTACTCTAACTCAGACATAATTCACTGAGTAAGTATGTGTGCATGTATGCATGTGTATCAACTATTTCTTAAGAAAGTGGTTGAAGTTATGGAACCTTACAATATTTAACAAAGAGCATGCTTTAATATTGCTTGGAATTTAGGCAGAGAAGGTATCATTGCCTTCAATGGTGACTAAATATCAACTTTATAGCTGAAGGTAGTAATGAAGCATTTTCCATATTTCAAGGTAATATTCATAATGTATAAACTTGTAATATATTCCTAAACCCAGAAAAAAATATTTTCTTCCAGAGAGTTTGCTAAACCAAAAGTTTGACACTTGTGTTAATTTTTCAAATGTATAAGCTTATTTTTTCCCTTTTTATTGCTTGTCTAAATAATAATTTGCTTCATCATTTAAAAGAAAATAGTATAGTTTCACTTACTCCAAAATTCCATAGTATTTCATCATATCCTTGATATGATCCTTATATTCTATATATTGTCCCATGTTTTCTTCTTTTTCAATTGATTCAAGGATGGGCGTGTTAACAAAGCCTGGGCAAATGGCGTTCAGTCTCACACCACTGTTCATAAGATTAGCAGCCAACTGCCAATGAGAAGGTTGTAGGTTTCAGCAGTTTCATAAACATATAGCACAGGACAAACTGATAATTAAAGTGTCTTACAATACTCTCATGTAAAAAATACTAGTCAGATATCCTTTCAGCTATATAACAATGACTGGTAAATAGAAAGACAGGAAAAGAACACATACCTACAGTATTGTATTAATTCCTGAAAGTCTTACCTAATTAATTTTTTTAAAAATCAGTTTTATTGGACAACTTTTGGAAACAATTATGTAAGCTTCTCTTATGTACTGAACTCTGCAGGAACCTGAAACTAAGCAGCGGAGACTTAGAATTGATATCCCAAGTTTTCTTTCAGATATTGCAGTTGTATAACAAATAATACTTAAAAAATAATTTTGGTGAAAATGTTTAGAACTTTGATTCTATAGACTCTTAACATTCTGCCCTATCTGACAATTTAAGTATTTTCAGACTAATATTATTTGGCTTAATGTACAAACTGCTGATTTTATTTGCAATTATTAAAAAATTAGTCAATTTTCATTATTCATGGATTACATATGAACAAATTTGCCAAATTTGCTTGCTAAAATTTACTTGTGACCCTGGAAATCAATACTTGTGGAGCATTTGTGGTTGTTTGTGGACACGCACAGAGCACTGAGAAATCTGAGTCACTAATGTGCATGTTCCTGCTGAGGTCATGTTAAGACTAGACTCTGCCTTACCATGTTTCTCTAATTTTTGGGCTTTTTTGTTGGTAATTCTGCTGTTTAAAATGGCTACCAAACCCACTGTAGAAGTACTGTGGAGTGTTCTTTAGTGCAAGAAGATTGATGTGTCTTATAGAAAATATTTGTGTTAGATAAGCTTTGGTCAGGCATGAGTAATTAGTGCTTTAGTAATGAATTCAATGTTCATACAATATATAATAAATAAAGTGTCTTTAAACAGGGATACACATAAAACAAGGTTATGTGTTGACTGGTTGATTGGAGTTTTGTGGCCAGAGGCTTTCAGGAACTTAACCCAGTATTTCCCCTAAAAGCAATGGTTCAGTAGTCACTAACGTAGTGTTTGCAAGTGACTTCATGGAACATAACTACCCTGAATAATGTGAACTGACTTTAGAAGTTTCCAGTCTTGTAATTTTAAATATAATTTCTGGTCTTTAAGATTTACTTTACTTTATAAGAGAGCTTTATACGAAGTCTATCTGAAGATTAAGTCTTTGCAAATTAGGTAATAATGTACACTCAAATTAAGTGTGAGAACTACTTATCTTCCATTTTGGCTGAACATGTAACATTTGTGCATCTGTTTTTTCTGTGTCCTAGTAGTTTTTTGATTATATTTTTCTCTTCATCTCACTGACTCCTCTCTGTCTCACCTAGATGAACCACCCAGAGACCATGTACAATTCTTCTTTCTGCTTTTACACTTGCCATTTGTAATACAATTTCCAGACAGCAGGTAGAATAGTCTCAAAAAGTAAATCTGATCTTATCATTCCTGTGTGTAAAAGCCCCATGGATGGTTACACTGAGAATAAAATCCGAGCTCACATCCGTGGCCCACAGCCACCTTTGGTCTGGGTTCTGCTGCTGTCTTGAGTCATACCTCTTCCTACTTTCCCCTTGCTTACCAGACCCCATTCAAGATGCCCTTTTGTGAGTTATAGAAAGGCAGGCATTCTCACCTCATATCATCAATGCATGTGATCAATTAGGTCCAAAGTATTTTTCTAAGCTCTGTACACCTTTCACGCTAGGCCTCATGGAGACATTATCCTTGACCACTCTATCAAGTAAATGTGTGGCCCCACCCCTCCTTCCAGCTCCATGTTCTCACTCATTTTCATCACATCACTGGTGACAAATAATGTCTGGGGCCTATGCATCTTCTATTTCAGAAAACCTGAAGTTAATAATATTTAAATTTGGAGTTAGTTTTGGAAATAAGTATTATCTCCCCATTATTTATCCTTAATACATTTTTTTAATAACACATCTGTATTTAGAATCTACTTCATTGGAAAATGAGTCTGTTATTTATTTGGTCCTTTATATGATCTGAAAACTATTTTTTGTAATAAAGATGGAGGTATGCTTTTTTTCCACCTTTTATCCAGATGTATTGATTTCTCAAGTGATTGCTCTCTACAGAATTCATGTTTTATAAATGTATACACAGATAAAGTGAGATGTGATGGTTGTTGTAGCCTTACCGCTGCTGAGCGTGTGAATCCAACTATGCCATGCTTTGAAGCACAGTAAACTGGCTGCTGTGCAACAGGTATGAGCCCTGAAACAAACAAATACAACCTTTAAATGCTTTGATTAAAAAAATAAGCAAACTACCCAAAAATGACAATGCAAACGAATATTTTGTGATGATTTAAACTTAAGATGAATCTGAATAACACACTAACATAAAGCCAGATCACTTTGTAAAACTCAGTAACCTAAGCGTAGTTTATTCACTCCCTGACCCACACTGTCCAGAATTTATAGTAGGTAAGTTACATCAAGAGATATAGCCAAGAGTGATATGTGTTTTTCTGCCTCTTCGGGCCTTTTGGAAAGCCAAGGAAAGTAAATGGTATCTAAAACGCAAAGAAAATCATCTTAAAACTCAGTAAATTACCATCTACTTTTCAATTTTTAAGCGTGGATTTTAAAAAGTGTATATTCTACATTTTTAAGGCTTCCAAATGGCCGAGGGAATTTCAAACTTCAGAGAATCTTGGAGATTATTAGTCTTCACTATAAATTAGCATACAATTTCCTGTCACCAATCTGTCTTGAATAATGCCTCCAAAAGTTTAAGAAAATTAAAAGTTAATTTATTTTTATTTGATCTGTTGTAGATGCCTACATCTTTTTGCCCTATGACTTAGGAGAACAGAAATAAACCTTTGTGGTCCTATTTTATTTCCTTTCGTAATTATGTAGTCAACTGTGAAATTCGGTCAATTACAGAATGTTTTAATTTTTAATTTCCCACATATGCACAATAGTAGTAACCGATTAAATTCATGGTCTGGAGAGAAAAAGCAGCATTAAGCGTATACCTATCACATCTCTTCTCCCCCAATTCCAGCCTAGCTCATCTCTCCACAAAGAAACAAAACAACAAGAAAAATCTATTTTACTGTAGTAACTATTACTATCAAGCATATTTCTCATAATTGTTAATTCTCTAACCAACAGTCAAAATGGAACCAGAGTCATTCTTGTATTTGTTTTTAGGTAATTTGGATTAACTTGTTTGAATGGTTTTTAAGTTTGTGACTTCTCTGAGTCAAGAAACCATGATCCCTGATTACTATAATACTATATTTAATATCAAATGTCATGCTAATAATACCAAATTATTCTGCTGAGACATGCTCATCTCCACCCAGCTAACTATTCCCAGAATGCCACCAATCAGTTGAGGGTGTTGGGCCAAAGTTCAGCAATAAATGCAGACCTTAACCACTCCCTGGGTGCCTGCCAGGTCTCAATTTATAAAGTATGTTTGCACAAGGGCAGTTTAAATCCCTGAGGATGGTAGATCACACCTAGTGTGTCCACCCAGTGATCTCAAAGTATTGTTAATTTGTTGGTTCTCTTGTTGTTATTGTTGTTAAGTAAAATGTGTAAGTTAATTAAGTTTGTCAGTATCAGTCAACAAGAATTTATGTTTTCACAGGCTACATAGGTATACCAGGAGTGGAAGATAAAGGGAATAAATAAGTATAACCAGGAGTTGCTGTTTCTGGTTCTTGTTAGTCCCTGCTTTACCCAGTCCTTAAATGTTTATGAGACAAAGGCAGTGGTTATAGGACAATGTTCATATACAGAAGGAAATGCAGCATGAACCTTAATCAGAGATAAACGAGTTGACACAGCCACAAGAAATGCAAAGACATTGTTTATAAGGGTTGTCAAAGATGAATTTGAAATGAATTTTTGTTACATATGCAGAGGTGATGAACTCTGAGACCCCAGAAAATTCAAGGTATCACAGAGGTGAGAGAAATAAAATACTGCTTAGTGGGTTCTGGTAACAAGCAAGGACAACATACATACTTTCCTTAAAGTTAGAATTGTAAATGCAACTGGAAGGTGCAAGAATTTGCAATTTTTAAATGGTACTTGGTTTTATGAATCTTGTAACATTCTAATGATATTTTCACTGCTATCCTGCAAAATGTTTATCCTTGCATTGCTTTCACTTTCTTTCTTCCTCTCTCTCACTCTTTCTCCCTCCTCCTCCCTCCCTCTCTTTCCTTCCCTCCCTTCTTCCCTGCCCCCTTCTCTTTTCTGAGATAGAGTCTAGCTCTGTTGCCCAGGCTGGAGTGCAGTGGCAAAACCATGGCTCACTGCTGCCTTCACGTCCTGGGTTAAAACAATCCTCCCATCTCAGCCTCCTGCATAGCTGGCACCACAGGCATTCGCCACCATGCCTGGCTAATTTTTGTATGTTTGGTAGAGATGGGGTTTCACCATGTTGCCTAGGCCGATCTTGAACTCCTGAGCCCAAGCAATCCACATGCCTTGGCCTCCCAAAGTGCTGGGATTTCAGGCTTGAGCCACAGCACCAGCCCTTTACTTTTTAATATTAGATCAAAGCCTACACAAATGAATTTCAGACGGTGGTCACTGGTATCAAGTACAGAAACAAATCAGAATCACTCTAAGAAATAAACATATCTCAGTATTACCCATCTAAAACATAATACCTTTTTAGCATTTCTCCAGCTACCATCCCCCTGTTTCCGTTTCCAATGGAAAGTCCTCAGAAGAGTTATTATATGCCTTGCATGTCTCTACTTTGCTGACCTCCCATTTGCTCTACAACTCACTCAAATCAGGCTTTCATCTGCTCACTCCAGTCAAACAGATCTTGTGGAGGTTGCCAATGTGCAATAGCTTGCCAAGGCTAACTCTCCATCTCATTTTGTTCAATCCCTTCCCCTATACCAACTAGCACAACCATGCTTTCCTTGAAATATTTCTTTCTCCTGACTGGTCTCCTACCTCACATTCACTGGCTGCCTCTTCTCCATGTCCTTTGCAGGTTCTCTTCCTTGACCAGACCCATAAACATGATGGAAAACTCCAGAGATATCCCTGGTCCTCCTTGCTTTTCTGTGAACACTCTTTCCCTATGGAATTTTATTCACTCCTGAGGATAAAAATTAATGCTATCAATTTGTCTCTTTCTTTGTGTGACTGCGTGACTTTCTCTCTCTCTCTCTCTCTCTCTCTCTCTCTCTCTCTCTCTTTCTCTCTCTCTCTCCCCCTTTCTCTCTGTGTGTTTTTCTCTCTCAAATTTAAAATAGTTATCTCCAGCCAAGAGTTGTTACTATGCCTTGAACTCTAGAAAGGGAGCCTTGGGTTATTTTTTTGTAATATTTCCTAGCTGTTTCCTCTCCTTAAATTATAGTGGATGCTTAGCCTGGGCAATAGAGTGAGACTCCATCTCAAAAACAAAACAAAAACAAACCACACAAACAAAAAAGAAAATATGATAATATCAGATATTTTAGGAAATTTCAAATTAAAACAGCAATGAGGTTCTACTACACACATTAGAATGGCTAAAATTTAAATGATGAAAACACCAAATATTGATGAATATGTAAAGCAGCAGGAAGTCTAATTCATTGCTGGTGTGAATGCAAAATGGTACAGCCACTTTGGAAGATAATTTGGCAATTTCTTTCAAAGTAAACATACTCTTATAATACAATGCAACATTCAGTTCCTTGGCACTTACCCAAATAATTGAAAACATGCTTCCACAAAAACCTGTGTGTGGATGTTTATAGCAGCTTTATTTATAAATGCCCAAACTTGGAAGCATTGGGTGTCCCTTAGTAGTTGAATGAAGAAATAAGCTGTCGCATATTCAGATAATGAAATAATATTCAACACTAGCAAAGGGCTATCAAGCCATGAAAAGATATGGAGGAAACCTCAATGCATATTACTAAGTGAAAGAAGCCAATCTGAAAAGGCTACATATTGTATGATTCTAACTATATGACATCTGGAAAAGGCAAAACTATGGAGACAGTTGAAAGATCAGTGGTTACCAGGAGCTGGTGGGAGAAAGGGAAGAACAGGTGGATAACAGGGATTCTAGGGTAGTAAACCATTCTGGTTGATGTTATAATGGTGGATATATGTTATTATACCTTTATCCAAACCTATAGACTATACAACATCAAGAGTGAACCAGATGAAACACCTCAAATTATTGTATTGACTTATCTGTTCATCCACACTGTACTTTTTAATAAAATGTATCTTTTGCACTAAAATGCCAGAAGTCTTGTCTAGTGTCCTAATTTGGTTTGATTTCTGAATCTTGGCAAACTAGACAGTTTCCATTCCTAAACCAACAGGATTTATAGAAGTAAAATCACTTAAGAACTATGTGTTCAGTTCCTTGTAAGTGCAATATATAATAAAGTAATATTTTAAATATATTCAATGGAAATGTGTGACACCAGTGGGAGGACCTTCGCTGCAGGGCGAAGGTGTAATAGCCAGTTGAATTCCACCTTGAATAACCAAATACCAATATAATGACTATAGGACCAGTTGCTGTAATGAATATATTTTTGTTTTTGTTTTATCTTGTGCATTCATTCCCAAAATGAGGGGCACATGGAAATTATTTTGTCACAATGTTAAGGGATTTAAGAATAGCAACAATAAAACAAAGGATTGTAACCATGAGAGAGTGGTCTCTGCTTTTAAAGAAATGGCATTTTGTTTAACATTGTGAGAAATATTGTCTTTGTGCTTAAAAATGAATCCTTATATTAAAATAGTTAAGGATAGTATTTTTCAGTACTTAAGATCGGCCCACCATTGTGCAAGTTTATTTATAGAAATGCAAAATGGCTCTTTCTAAAATATACCAAGTATAATTCGTACCAGATCTATGTCTGTCACAACTGTGAAGTCACAGAAAAAAAAAAAAAATATATCAGTAGAGGGAGAAATTCTACCCACAAAACAAAGAAACGTTTTCTAAAACCACTCAGGATAATAACACTGAACAATTAGTCTGATGAGATAATTGTATATAGCATTTAAAATACCTGAAAGCATTTAAAATATCTGAAAATTACATGTGTACTCACAGAACAAAGAAAGTCACTTAGAAAAATAGAATTTAAATTCCATCTCTACATTATTCTTCTATTCTTCATAATCTTTCTACCCATATTTACAAAAGCCAATTTTAATGTCTTTATTTCACAGAAGGTAAAAGGCTCAAAAAGATTTTTTTGCAAAAAC